TGCTTTGTTTTTTTGGTTGGGGGGGGGGGCAACAGTGGGAGGGCTTCTAGTGTCCTGGCCCCACTGGTGGACCTGCTGATGGCACCTGGTATTTTTGGCCACTGTGTGTGACACAGAGTGTTGAACTGGATGGGCCATTGGTTTGATCCAACATTGGCTTCTCTTATCTTATATGGAGCAGAGGTCCATCAATGGCTATTAGCCACAAGGTATAGATAGGAACTCTCAGTCTGGGGCAAGGGATGCTCTGTATTCTTGGTGCTTGGGGGGGGGCAACAGTGGGAGGGCTTCTAGTGTCCTGGCCCCACTGCTGGACCTCCTGAGGGCACCTGGTGTTTTTGGCCACTGTGTGACACAGAGTGTTGGACCGGAGGAGCCACTGGCCTGATCCAACATTGGCTTCTCTTCTGTTCTTCTGTTCTTAACAGAGTGGGGAGGAAATCGGCATTTTGTTTCCACCCAGTGGGGCTCTCGGTCCACTGCACTGCTTCTTCTGCCCCGCTCTTTGACCAGAAAGGCCAAATGCTGCAATCTAAGTGCATCATACAAGTTTGGCACAAGTTCTGTCTGCTACGAAGAGAGGCAGAAAAGCACACAAGCCCCTCAGCCTAGCCTCGGGGAGTTGCCGGCTCAGCCCTCCTCTGGCTTCTGCTCTTTGAGCTGCTTGTCCAGGTTCAGTCATTTCTGGTGGCTTCCACCCAGCTACACCCCCGCCCCCCCAACATGGCCAACATGGGTCATGGGGGAGAAAATGCGGGGAACACACCCTCTGGAGGTCCCGTTATCCCTTCGCTGCACTGGCAGCTGCAGCCACAAAGGGGCTTCCAAAGGGAAGTGTCACTGCCCGGGGGAAAATCCCTTTGCCTCTGGGCCCCCAATGTGTGAAATGGGCTTAATTAAGGATTCGGGTCAGAATACACTTTGCACCACAGTCCTTACCATTAATTTGAGGGACCAAGACGTTGGCAGCAAAGTAGTTCATGACGGCCTGCATCAATTGCACCTGGAGGGGAAGAAGGAATGGCCGGTCGGAATGAAAGGCCTGGAACGGATCTGGTGAACAGTCTGCTTCTGCCCCGAAGCAGGAACTCCAACCGCTGAAGGACACCCCACACCTGCCTCTTCCTGCCCATCAAGGTCTGCTGGCTGAGTGATTCCGAGGCAGTGAGGAGAATCTCCACCCCCACCCCCAGCAGCAGTTCTGGGAAAGCGTTTGAAGAGAGGACATCCCCAGATCTATGGGGGTGGAAAGTGCCATGTAGTTGCAACCAACTTATGGCAGCCAAATAGGGTTTTCAAGGCAAGAGGTGAGTAGAGGTGGGTTGCTATTGCCTGCCTCTGCGTAGTTACCCTGGGCTTCTTTGGTGGGCCCCATCCAAGTACTAACCAAGACTGACCCTACTTAGCTTCCAAGATCTGATGAGATGGGGCTATCCTGGGCCATCCAGGTCAGGGCAAAAGATATGCAGAGGTGGTTTGCCATGGCCTGCCTCTGCGTAGCAACCCTGGACTTCCTTGGTGGTCTCCCATCCCAGTTCTAACCAGGGCCATCCCTGCTCAGCTTCTAAGATCAGACGAGACAGAGGTCAGACTAGCTTGGGCCTTCCAGGTTGGGGCGCAGATATCTAGGAGGGGGAAAGAACCCATAATGGGGTTAGCTCTGCCCCCTTAAATGACCAAATTGAGAACCGGAACCCCTGGATGTGCCACTGGAGTCTTTGGGTGTCCTTCCAGGCCACGGGATCCAGTCTTTTTGGTGATTGAGAAAGTCTTACCGAGAACGGCCCCACGTCTGAGTGCTTCAAGGACAGCTCCAGCCTAAAGGAGGGGAAAGAGGGAGAACTGGGTTCCTTTGGCAGGGCAAACGAAGAGCAATTTATTTTGTGTGCTGGGAAACCGCCACCTTGGGGGTGAACCTCGGATCCCGTCGCCTGAGATCCCCAGCCCACATAAAAAGCATCTCATCAGCGGATTTCAGGGATGCCAGCGGATACAGCTGGGTTCCCCGAGAAAGTGGGAAAGGAAGATCTTTCGGTGTGAAAATGCAGAGACCCTCGGTCAATATTGCTCACCTGCCAATCTTCAGGGACCCGACGATCTTATTGGACTCCATAGTAGCGGTGGCCGAAATGGTGGTTGACTGGGAATCAAAGAGAGGCGGGTTGGGACGGCTTCGCAATCGATACAATTTTTTTAAAAAAAGAAGATGAAGAAAATATGGGATTTATACCCCGTCCTTCACTACC